ATCCGTAACCTTAGTCTCAAATTGTGAACCTTGAATACCAACTTGTAGGGCAAGCTTCTTGACATTCCATTTGATTGGTTTTATCCTATCAAACAAAACCATACAAAAACTTGTGTCCTTAAGTATTGCATTATCTGTGTGTACCTATTTATTTAACTATTTTCACTCGCACACATTCATATGCACCGCTCGCACACACATTCATATGCACCGCCCTCGCACACACATTCATATGCACCACTCGCACACACATTCATATGCACCACTCGCACACACATTCATATACATGTTTACCTTACATAATTACAACATACCATTAACAACATTTGATTACATTTTAATATAGTTGAATTATGGTTGGATTAAAACCATTCTGTACAGGGTTTCAATTTAACTGGAGTTTAATTAAACTCAAATATATTGCTACTTTACATAGATTTTTGTACAACTTTTTGTATAATTAAACTTTAATTAAAATACAAAGTAGAAACAACATCTTATAATTTGTAACATATAGAAATGTTTGCAAAGGTTATGGTTAGTGAATTGCCCATTTAAGGGGTAGGTATGGCACACATTAAATTTAATAAAATGTGTGCCATACACCTTACCCCTTTACTAACCCTAAAGACTTTTTTTTGCCTCCAACACTAGAGTTTAGCAATAACTTGCACTGTTCTACCATATAGCCACCATACCAGATCATAAAATAATGCCCAGGGAGTCTTATTCTACACACAAATCTCTTTTTTGTTCGTTGTATTTACAGTTGAGTTCTTTGGAAAGGATTTGAGCATATCTTAACAAAGAGAGGCGAAGCAAGTGTCGCACTTGTTTGGTTTTAGCGTCATCAACAATGAAATCAATTTTGCGATGTCACACTGAAGACTGCCAACTTTTTTACCAGCAATCAATATAGCTATTGCATTTCTGTCATGAAATATTAGGGTTGTACAAACCTGTTTGTTTACCTATTCATACCTACCAAAAAGTCCGTGGAAATAACAAATTCCATTTATTACTCGTAGGCTTAACTACAGATTATAGCCCCAATCGGAAACTATAAGGGAATATACCCTTGTTCACAAAGAACACCATAGGGTGAGAATTCCCTATAGAAATCAAAGAAAGCTTAGAAAGAACTCCCATGTGCTGAGAGTATTGAAGACACATTAAAAATTAATTCAAAATTACTTGTACATGAGATATTGATGGAAAAGCTGAAAACTAATTATGTAAATCAGGTAACTAATATGAACAGAACAGAACAGAACAAAAAAATTATGAATTATTATGCTAATTAGAGAATTAATATGAACAAATTTTAACCCAAAATTAATCAGGCCTGTCTATTGTTCTAGAGCATTTATGTACCAAATTTTATTCAAATGTGATGATCAGTAATTGAGATATCAGTGTTAATTAATTATGTTAATTAGGTTAATTACCAAAAACTAATTGGGTTTCTGCATAGTTCTCTTTAAAAGATTCATTAAAATCCAATTTGTGGTTCTTTATATTTCAGTGGAACATTATGCAAATTAGGTAATTAATATCCAATTAAAACTAATCAGGTCTCTGCATAATCCTAGAAGATCTATGTAGCAAGTCTCATTGAAATGTGATGATTACTACTTGAAATATCAAAAGCTGAAAATTAATTAATTATGCTAATTAGGTAATTAATATGTACTCATATTACCCTAAAAACTATCAGGTCTGTGCAGTGTCCTATGACATTTATATACCAAGTGTCATTGAAATGTGATGATTTCTATTTGAAATATCAAAAGCTGAAAATTAATTAATTATGCAAATTAGGTAATTAATATGTACTCATATTACCCTAAAAACTATCAGGTCTGCTCAGTGTCTATGACATCTATGTACCAAGTTTCACTGAAATGTGACAATTACTACTTGAAATATCAAAAGCTGAAAATTAATTAATTATGCAAATTAGGTAATTAATATCTACTGATATTACCCTAAAAACTATCAGGTTTGTGCAGTGTCCTATGACATCTATGTACCAAGTTTTATTGAAATGTGATGATTAGTACTTGAGATATCAGTGGAAAAGCCGAAAATTGATTAATCATTATGCAAATTAGGTAATTAATATTGCACAGATTTTTACCCAAAACTAATCAAATCTGCGCATTAGTTTGGAGCATCTATGCACCAAGTTTCATCAAAAACTGATGTATGGTTCTTTAGATATCAGTGGAACACACGGACACACATACAGACACACACACACACGCACACACACACGTACGCACACACGCACGCACACACACACATACAGACACACTAACTGCAAAGACTCCCTTTTTGTGCTTCGCAGACTTTCTGGTAGGTATGATTAGTTTACTACATCACCTACCAGAAAGTCTGTGGAAATAATAAATTCCATTTATTACTCGAGGTGGGGAGGTTCCGACGGCTAAAATGTATATTTTTCGACCCCAAAAACGGAAGATCCAAAAACCAAAACTGAGAAATCTAAAGCTACTCA